TTCGTCGTCCATTACCACGCAGTCAAACTTCGTCAGCATCGTCGTGTACAGCCTCCGGGATCGCGCTTTGGCCGTCGTATTTTGTTTATCATCGCGGTTTGGAGTCACTACCTTCTTGTAAGTCGATAGTCCGGCTCGTTTTTTGGCTCGATGCACGGTTGTAGACGATACACCCAGCTTATTTGCGGCATCTCGGAGAGAGAGGTTAGGGTTTCGCTTGAAACTACCGGCAACTCTCTTTGTCGTCTCAGCGGCTTCCGGTTTTCGATTTCCCCCCGAACCAGACTTCCTGGCTGTCGACAAACGTTCCCCAAACACTTTAATTACATTTGTAACGGTTGATTTGGCAACTTTTAGCGATTTTGCCAACTTTGCGTGCGAGTAGCTCGGATTTTCGCGATGCGCGAGCAAAATTTTGATACGCTGCTCTTCTTGCTTGGACGGCATTTTGACAACTGAAGAGTGAATTCCAAAATCAAAATAGGAGCAACATTCTACACACACACCTTCAAAATGAGGGGTGTTCAGGTTTTTTAAATGCAAAATTGAAAGAAATACGTCAAGTTGATATTGACCAAATTTTGACCGTATCACCCTTTACATTAACATTGACTGCTGTTCTTGTACTTGAATACAAAGAAATAATTTAACTCAAATGCTTTAACCGCATATTTCAGAAATCTCTATTGAAATCGCGTATTGAAAGAATAATATAGTAATTGAGGGGAAAATAATACCTACAAAAGTTTAAAAGTTATTAATTGTCACATACCTCTACTTTTACTTATTTCCTAAACTTGTTAATCGGCTCAATGCTATTGGTCTGCTTGCGTTTTCTTATTGAAGTTCTAGACTAAATAGGAAGATGTATGCTACAACTTTAAAGGTTAGTTGCCTCCCTAAGCGGACCCCCCGCATCCTAATTCTTTTGTTAATCTACTTAATATTATTAGACTTTTGAATTTTCTTATTTAAGTTCATTTGATGATTATGATATCTCATTAGTCTAATTTAATAAATTTTTGAAATCTCAAATTCGCCTAATCAATCATAACCCATGCTTTATTAAGTACCTACACTTGTGCTTGCAATCTAAAATTAAACGTGTTTAAAGTACTTTTGACTTTGACCTATATTTATTATATCTTAGTTCGACCCAGGTGACACCTTCAAGTGACTAAAATGCTTCACTTTGAAATTAGTTTCCTAGCTGATTTTTAAATTATATAGGGCATATGATCCAACTACGCTCAAACGTTTCCACTATGTCACACCACAAAAATACCGTATGCGTGATAATGTTTGCACCATCCTACAAATAAGGTTCCCGTTCTACCTGTGCATACTTTGCCTTTGTTTTCTTTGCATGCACGTAACCTATGACGCATTTCGCGCCAAATCGAATCGAAGCTGGCAGCACCTGGCAGCACCCTCTCAGATTTCAATAAAATTTTATGGATGTGTAGACTTTGACTAAATAAGCACTTTTGCATACTCAGTTTTTCCAAAATTTATCTAGACTAACATTTGAGAAGGGCCAAACTTTTTCTGCCGATTTTTTTCAAAAAAATATTATGGAAAAATGACAACTCCAACAAAAATATGTTGTATGGATAACATTTAGAAAATTGACCAAATTATCGAAAAAAAAAATACTAAAAAAAAATTTCATTTGATACCTACACTGAAAAAATCGATTTTTAAAATTTAAAGTCGATATAAAAAAATTGCCATGTTTGATTTGGATGAAACTTTGCCTCAAGATAGGTAATTATGTTTACTACCATCCGTCCATACATCGCGAGATGGGCACTTTTAAGGAAAAAAAGTTTTTCTTACAAAAACTTTTTCATGTCTGAACTGATTTTTTTAACGTACCAATGAACCCATTTGTGATTCAATTTTGTCTAATCAGCAACTAATCACTTGGATTAATCGAGAATTCCATATGAAAAGGGCTTATATCATTAGAAAATAATATAATTGATTATATTGTCTACTACTGAGGCAAAATCCGATACTCCTATAGCAACTTAGAATTGTTAGCTCAAATTATCCATAAAGAATTAGGTATGAATAAAATTTAAATTGAGATCTTCTTTAGAATCAACAACGATTTGGGAAGTAAACGTATCGCATCATAATTCTATATGCCCTTCTGTTATTTATACCTAAACCATTAACATTATATACCTACCACTTCATTCTACCTATGAGCACTATAAACTAAGGTTGATTTCATACAAGCAACAGTCAATCTGATAACGAAAGTTGTGAAGACAAGTTGTAGTAAAATTATTATCATGGACCAAAGTAGTAAATTAAGGCTCAAAGGATTGAAATGTTGTGCAAATATAAATAATCCGAGATGCAACCGAAATAAGTTACGGGCCATATCGTCATCGATGGTAGAAAAAATACATTCTATGGGATATAACCACGAAATTAATGAAACGATGAGCATTTGTGAGTCATGCCGTAGCGTGATATCTCATAATAGAAGTCCAGGTACGAAAAAACGCCGATCGGTAGGAAATGAAGTAAATATCCAACCGTCGACTAGTGGGCAGCAGCATAGTGATGATCCAGGTCCATCAATGAGTGGCCATCAACCCGTAGATGAGCTAGGTAAGAACAGTCATCCTGATGATTCTATCAACTTTTAACTGCAACCTCCTAATTGCACTTATTAATTATTTTTTCTTCTTCTTTCCTTCAGATACGGTACCATCGGTTCCATCATTGGAGTCAGTTCCATCAGCAGATGATCTGCAACGCCCATACAATGTTAAGAAGTTTGATGGCTTTGTGGAAACGTTGAATTTATCTCCAATTTCATCGAGGAACATGAGGAGCATGGGTTATCGTTCAATAAAATCTCTAGAAATTACACAAGCAGTGCGAAAAAAATATATTTGGCCTAGATACAGCAGACATTAGCAAAGTAGAGGCATACGAAGAAATGATTGTGCAGCCAAAGGAGAAGTTCAATTCCCCTACAGCTGACAGAAAAGATCAGATAACAGTATTATCAGTATTGCCAAAGTCTTGGTCCGTGAATAAAGTTGTAGCAGAATTCAACGCACCAACGTACATGGTGAGGCAGGTGAAGAGCCTTGTTAATGAGCAGGGTATTCTAAGCACACCCAATAAAAGAAGTGGGCATGGAATCAACGATGATACAAAAAAACTAGTTAGGGAATTTTTTGATGACAATGATATTAGTAGACCTAACTTTTTTTTTCCTTCAAAGTGCCCATCTCGCGATGTATGGACGGTTGGTAGTAAACATAATTACCTATCTGGAGGCAAAGTTCCATCCAAATCAAACATGGCCATTTTTTTAAATCGACTTGAAATTTAAAAAATCGATTTTTTTTCAGTGTAGGTCTCAAAAAAAATTCCAGTATTTTTTTTCGATAACTTGGACAATTTCCTAAAAGTCATCCATACAACACATTTTTGTAGGAGTTGTCATTTTTACATAATATTTTTTTGAAAAAAATCGGCAGAAAAAGTTTGGCCCTTCTCAAATGTTAGTCTAGATAAATTTTGTAAAAACTAAGTGTGCAAAGTAGCATATTTTGTCAAGGTTCACACATCCAGAAAGTTTCATTGAAATCTGAGAGGGTGCTGCCAGCTCCGAATACGATTTGGCGCGAAATGCGTCCCATACCAAATCGATAAAATAAGAAACCCCGAAGTTATTTCAAACTGAAACTATTGATATGAGTGAGGGGGCTACACATATGAGATAGAGCAACTGTTTCTGAATAATTCATCTGAACATACCAAATCGGTAAGATAAGAAACTCCGATATTATTTCAGTTTGGAATCTGACTTCCATTCACTCAAAAAATAAATCACATTTCCAATGGAAAATATCCATTAGAATTTCACATAACTTTCATGTGATCTCATAATTGTGAATCGCACTACATAATCACATGAGCCTTATGTGTCCAATGAAAATTATGTGATTTATCACATAGAATTCATGTGATTATATGAATGTTATGTGAATTTCAGATAAAAATCATTAATTTTGTTATTGGAAAAATATCATGTGCGTTTCCAATGGAAGCTATATGAAAACTTTTTTCGGTGTTGGTACACCGGCAGTGTTGGCAGAAAAAGGGTTTTCTGGTTTTTAATTCAAACCATAAATATTTGAATAGCTATAACTTTTTTAAGATACATTCTAGCACCATACTTCCTTAGTTGTTAGGCACTTCCTGGACTATATTTGTACATAGGGGAAATGACGGCTTCGGCATGCCAGACTATTTTCGGCAACCCAAATTGAAACACTATTTTCACTGGATTTTCTTACGAAAACACTTCGCTGAATGCATGCAAACGATTCTTTATGCTTTCAGCTTCAATTTGACTATATTTTTACCACTGAGAAAAAGCAATCTAGCAAGGTTTTCTTGAAATGCAACACACGCACTACAAATTGTAGCTGATTTCGAGTTGCCGATAATAGAACAGCAGATTTACATGCAGTTCAAATGGAATGGTTGCCGAAGAAAAACTGGTTGCCGACAATACTCGCTCTCACTAGAGAAGAATTGAGCTTTGTAAAAGCGTTTCAAAACAGTTTTTGACAATTCTTTCGACTGAAATTGTTAGAGCAGCTGGCAGCAAAAGATTGTAAACAAACCAATACTGCATATGTGTGCGTTCCTTAGAGAAAAAGGCTATAGAAAGAAGGTCGCTGCTTAGGTTGCCGAGAATACGTAAATTCCCCTACTTAATTGCACCGTTGCACGGTTCATGCAAAATTGTGGTCTCTAGGGATAAAAATGCAGAAAAGTTGGTTTTCTCATACTAATTTCCATACAAATTTCAAACGCAATGCGGAAAGCCGAGTTACAACCAATCGTCCCCAAATTTTGCACAGTTGTTTGGGACTCCAAATGGAACCAAAAAAGGGTTGTTCTCGATTGGTGCGGTAAAGTTTGCGTTTTTCCGTATAACGATGCTTTCTACTTACCCTAACGACGCCATCGGTTGATCCAGTTATGATAACATTGTCATTATCCCACTCGTTTTTGTGTGAAAATGTAACACACAATATCTGTTGCATCCGATCTGCACATCCAATGCTTGTGTTAACCTTTGCGAGACAGTCTCCGTTTATTGACCACACGTAAAGCCATGTTGCAGAACATGTTGCGATATCGCCCTGCAAATAAAATTGGGTTGTTAAGGGGTATAGGTAAATACGTATTCGTAATCTGCATTAAAAATTGAAACGAAATCCAAAATATCACCAACTTTGGTGCAGTGGAACTATTTAAAATAAATCCGATTACGTTATCAAAAATCACCATCTTAGTGCCCCTCGGTGGGAGTTTGTATGGAAGCGAGGTGTCAAATAATAGATTAAGCGACGGAAATTAAAAAAAAAGATTAACTTGATTTGAACATCGAGATGAATGTCTAATGGGTTCGATAAAAATATCGTTGTGCTCAGAAAACGAAGCTGTTTCAGATGATGCATAAAAACCGGTATGTTTTTTTAATTAAAAACCCAGTTCTTGAGTATCCCATGTTACATCCTTTCCTTTCTAAATTATAGTTATAGAACCAGTTCCAACCCACAGTGTTATCGAACTTTTAGTCAGTGCAAACCTTAGGTTTTGAAAACAAAAAAAACAAACTGGCCTTTGTCAGAAACCAAGCAGACCCAATATTGATATCCGATCCAGGTTGGAGCTGAATAAAAAAAAAACGCTTAAGTAACGTCCGCACTTCTGTGGCAATTATCGCTACATATCACACTAGAGTGATGCAAAATTTGAAATTTTTGCTCCACAATACTTAAACGATTCCAAATCGGATCCTGACTAACCTCTCAAAATTTGAACCCATTTGGTGAGAAACTGAGATGGCACAAACCATTTCAAATTTGTATGGGAATTAGTATGGTAAAACCAAGATTTTTGTTCATGTCTATCTAATAATTCACCATATCGGTTTGCTTCAAAAACTTTCAACTGTACTTGTAGGAAATTTTCTGAGTTGCAACTTTGCAGAAGACCACTTTTTGATTAAATGCAAGGATCGAAAGTTATCAATGGTTCAATGCGCTGATGTCTTATGATCATGCTCAATCAACTGCTCAGCAGGCAACATTGGTGTTTCTGGGGCGTTGAATAGGACACAAAAATCATGGCTACTATGCCACACTGAAAATACAGTGTTGCCTACAGAGCAGCTGCTTGATCATGTCATAAGTTTACCAATCTCTTAAATAATTAATAACATTTTCCTGTCTCGTTTTACATAGAAACGATCTTGAGCAAACTTGTAGCTGAGAAAATTTTGTATAAGAATGGATATCGAACTGTCTCGCAGCTCAATATGGAAAAATACTAGAAGGCAATGAACAAAAAGTTGAGATTTCCCATAGTAATTTACATGTAAACTTCAAATGGCTTGTGCGAAGTCTGTTTCTAACCAAATGAGTTGTAACTTTGGGAGGCTAATCAAGACCCGATTTGAAACCATTTAAGCACTGTGGAGCGAAAAAGTCAAATTTTGCATCAGTCTAATATCACACATAGTCCTATACTACGTCATATGTGTTGTATAAAAATTGAATATGTATTTCTGTTTAAACTGTCAAAATCCTATAAATTTACACGCTGTTCGTGAGATTCTGTTTGGAGAACTCAATATGAATATGTATTAAGAATGTCAAACATAACACTTTGACTGGAAATCTGGTGGCTCATCCTCCAAATGATAGCTAAAGATGTTTAAAAAAAAATGTTTGGTGTGGCGGTAACTCTTGAAAACGTGATTTAGAGGTAGCTTGTTTGAAAAAAGTCCTCTTATATATCATAGTCATTGCTTATTTATTTTTTAATTTTTCCAACTTGCCTGTATACGGAAATTGTTGGAGAAAATGATTCTTTTCCGTCTAGACAAATGGGTCGAGTCGAATGGTTTACTTTCAGATACGCAATTTGGATTTCGGAGAGGCAAAGGAACGAGCGACTGTCTTGCGTTGCTTTCAACTGAAATTCAACTGGCCTATGCGCAAAAAAACAGCAAATGGGTTCAGTTTTCTTGGACATTAAGGGGGCTTTTGATTCTGTTTGTATCGATGTCCTTTCGGATAAACTCCACGATAGTGGGCTTTCACCAATTATGAACAACTATTTGAGCAACTTGTTGTCTGAGAAATATATGAGCTTTTCTCATGGAAACTCGACAACTTCACGAATTAGTTACATGGGTCTCCCCCAGGGCTCATGTTTAAGCCCGCTTCTTTATAATTTTTATGTAAAAGACATTGATGGTTGTCTTGATGAAAATTGCTCGCTAAGGCAGCTTGCAGATGACGGCGTTGTGTCCGTTATAGGGCCAAGTGCACCGGACCTGCAAGGACCATTGCAAGATACCTTAGACAATTTGTCTACTTGGGCTATGAAGCTAGGTATCGAATTCTCTCCGGAGAAAACTGAGTTGGTTGTTTTTTCTAGGAAGCATCATCCTGCACAGTTACAGCTTCAACTAAAGGGTAGAACAATCACTCAAAGTATATCTTTCAAGTAGTTAGGTGTCTGGTTCGATTCCAAATGCACATGGGGAAAACATATTGCGTATCTGAAACAAAAATGCCAACAAAGAATCAATTTTCTTCGTACAATTACCGGAACTTGGTGGGGAGCACACCCGAAAGATCTGATTAGGTTGTACCGAACAACCATCCTTTCGGTTTTAGAGTACGGCAGCTTTTGCTTCCAATCCGCAGCAAAAACACACATTCTTAAGCTGCAACGGATTCAATACCGTTACCTTCGTATTGCGCTAGGCTGTATGCACTCGACTCATACGATGAGCCTCGAAGTACTCGCGAGTGTTCTCCCACTGACAGATCGTTTCGCTGAGCTGTCTTTCCGGTTTCTCATCCGTTGTGAAGTATTGAATCCTTTGGTAATAGAACACTTTGAGAAGCTGCTCGACCAAAATCCTCAAACAAGATTCATGAGTTTGTACTATGAGTACATGACGCTGGAGGTTGGTCCTTCTTCATTAATCTCCAATCGTGATTGCTTTCAAGCCTTCTATAGTTCCTCTGTAAATTTTGATCTGACCATGATGCAAGAAATCCATGGAATACCAGATCACCATCGGTTGATGGTTGTTCCCTCAATTTTTGCAATCAAGTACCACCATGTAAGTAACGATAAAAGATTTTTCACAGATGGGTCAACCATAAATGCTTCCACTGAATTTGGTGTATTTAATCAATTTCATAGCGCCTCCTATAAACTGCAGAAACCATGCTCCGTATACGTTGCGGAACTCGCAGCTATATTTTACGCAGTAGAGCGAATTGCCTCACTGCCTTCTGACCATTATTTCATTTTTACGGATAGTCTTAGCTCATTGGAGGCTATTCGTTCAATGAGGCCGATGAAGCACTCCTCGTATTTCCTGCCTGAAATACGAACTAAACTGAGTGCTTTATCTAACTGCTCCTATACTATCACCTTAGCTTGGGTCCCATCTCATTGCTCAATTCCGGGTAATGAGAAAGCGGACTCATTGGCTAAGGTGGGCGCTATGGAAGGCGATATTTTTGAGCGACAAATCGCCTTCAACGAATTTTTCTCCTTTGTTCGCCAGTAAGTCCTCATCAGTTGGCAACAAAAATGGAATGATGGTGAATTGGGAAGATGGTTACATTCTATTCTCCCACAGGTGTCGAACAAACCATGGTTCAAAGGGTTGGACATGAGCTGCGACTTTATACGCGTTATATCAAGGCTTATGTCCAATCACTGCTCGTTAGACTCAAACTTCTATCGAATTGGGCTCTCAGGCAGCAATTTATGTGCGTGTGGCAGTGGTTATCACGATATCGAGCATGTTGTTTGGTCGTGTACCTTACACCGTGTTGCCAGATCTGAGTTATCCACATCCCTCAGGTCCCGAGGAAAACAACCGGCGATACCCGTTAGAGATGTCTTGGCGAACCGAGACCTTGACTATTTGAATTTAATTTATGTGTTTTTAAAGCGGATAGATTTGAGGATTTAGAAGTTAGTGTCATCTTGTGTTCTCCCAAGTTGTTAGCTACCCATCGGTGTACCCCCATGTTTGTCTTTTTCATCAGAGTGTCGCCTAGTTCGAAATCAAGAGCACATTGCTCTCCAAACCTTGTGTTCACAATCCCTACCCTGCCATCCATTTGTTACAATTTGTTACCCCTAACCTTGAGATAGCCGCGAGTAATCGGCCCCCGCTTTACTAACGTTAGTTTTAAGTAATTTTGTTATCTAAACAATGAATATCGGCTCCGCAAAGCTACAGCAAATGAGCCTGGAAAAATAAACGAATTATTAAAAAAAAAAACTTGCTTCTTTTTGTCGTTTAATGTTAGAGGTAAGGTGAGGTGAGTTTGTTCTAAGGTGAAAAGGGGCGTTATTAATTCTACTTGCCTACCGGAGCACAGTGAACACATTCTTATTGACAGAATTTCGGTTCTGAACGAAAAAAAAACTTCTTTTGAAAAGGAGTTGAACACCGGTTTTGTATTGTTTGTAGTATTTGTTTTCAAAACAATGTTTTTATAATTTTTCATTATAAGTTGTTATAATTTTTAAAAATAAGTTGTAGAGAAGAATAAAGTCTTTCTATGAAAATAAATATCACTGCGTCCTAGCAAGAAGTACGGCAAATATATTATATTAACAATATAATCCACTCTTTCGCTAAGCTGGCGAACCAAATTTTTAGCGATGAAAGCACTTCTGTGGCCAAAAAGGCTACCAATGTATTTGTTTATCGTCACGAGGGGTAAACCAAATGAAAATTTGTTTAATGTTTCAAATGAATGTATTTCAGCATATTATTTTATTTGATGACAACAGTGACATGTCAGACAAATTTTAAAGTAATATAATACACAATGTAGTTAATGAAAATAATGTGACTCTTACTTTTGTAATAAGTGCTACACTCAAAAAATTCCACACGTCATCATCATGTGTCTCACACTTAATTTTGCGCTTATTGTGAAACACATCCATTTCATGTGTGAATCTTATGCTATGAACCATGCATGAACACTATGGATTTGAATTGTGACAAACTTGGATTCTATGTCCCTTATATGGTGATATCAATAGCTTTGCACATCATTGTTCAATATTCTACTTTCGCGAC